ACGGTCCCCGAATCCGATCGTCGCCACGTCAGCCTGCTGCCGCGCCACCATATATGGCGCGGCACAAGCATTTGGCCGCACTAGAGCAATAGACGCGACCAAAAGTGTTAGTTAAAAAAAAGACAGTGTTAAATTTAAAATTAGCTATCAAAAAGTGTTAAAATTAAAAAAAAAATTACCAGCGAACGGGGTTATCAGGCGCAGACACGAACACATAGACACGCTGACACACATGGATCGTCGTCGTCGCTGAATGAAGCTCAGCCACTGATTAAATTTAGCCCCAACCCCCGTATTAGGCTCCAGAATTATCTAACTATGATGAGCGCTTTAGTCGGTCGCGGTCGGCAAATTATAAACCCAGAAACCTCCCTGGCCAGACGCTCGACTTATCTCTGAGCAAGAAGAACACTAAAGAATCCAATCATGAAGCAGCCGCCTGTTGCTGTCACGAACCACCACCGTCTCACTCTCTCACTCCCCTCCTTAAATACCTCGCCTCGCCTCGGCCACTCTCGTCACAGCAGAAGCGAACTAAGCTAAGAAGCAGAAAGCAAGCAAGCAAGTCTCATCAGAGAGAGTAAGTTCATTGGCTAGTGCGAGCAACAATGGCCAAGGACATCGAGGCCGCGGCGGCGCACGAGGGCGGGGAGTACACAGGCAAGGACTACTCGGACCCCCCGCCCGCGCCGCTGGTGGACGCGGAGGAGCTGACCAAGTGGTCGCTGTACCGCGCGGTGATCGCCGAGTTCGTGGCCACGCTGCTGTTCCTCTACATCACGGTGGGCACGGTGATCGGGTACAAGCACCAGACGGACGCGACGGCGAATTCGAGCCCCGACGCGGCGTGCGGCGGCGTCGGCGTCCTCGGCATCGCCTGGGCCTTCGGCGGCATGATCTTCATCCTCGTCTACTGCACCGCGGGGGTGTCGGGGGGCCACATCAACCCGGCCGTCACCTTCGGCCTCTTCCTGGCGCGCAAGGTGTCTCTAGTGCGCGCGCTGCTCTACATCGTCGCGCAGTGCCTCGGCGCCATCTGCGGCGTGGGCCTAGTCAAGGGCTTCCAGAGCGCCTTCTACGTGCGCTACGGCGGCGGCGCCAACGAGCTCAGCGACGGGTACTCCAAGGGCACCGGACTCGCTGCCGAGATCATCGGCACCTTCGTGCTCGTCTACACCGTCTTCTCCGCCACCGACCCCAAGCGCAACGCGCGTGACTCCCACGTCCCAGTAAGTCGTAGCTCTAGCTCGATCGTCAGCTCCTCCCCTCCATTATTGAGCTTCGTTCATCACTGTATATAGCTGTTACTAATGCTTTGCGCTTGTGCTTTGTTCGTTCATTCAGGTGCTTGCTCCTCTCCCAATTGGGTTCGCGGTGTTCATGGTCCACCTGGCCACCATCCCGATCACCGGCACCGGCATCAACCCGGCCAGGAGCTTGGGCGCTGCTGTCATCTACAACAACGACAAGGCCTGGGATGACCACGTACGTCCTACACACATATATAGAAACACACACTTCTCCTGCTAAAGCTCTACTGATAATGACGGGACATCCTGCCAAAGAATAAATTAAATGCTAATGGCTTACAGGCATGCATGGGCGCCGCTGCCACGAATACTGGCCTAATCTTAATTAACTAATCAAATAAAACTCTATCGCGATATTTCTCAGCCGTAGGTTAATTTACTAGCCAAGAGGAGAGCTAAAAAAAAATACTCGACCTGCGGGGGTAAGCCACCCAGGCATTGCTGTGATACAGAAGATCTTCTCACACAGGCCGAGAAAACCTTCGAACCCCTGCCCCACCCTGACACAGGGGCACTGTTGCGCTGTGAGAACCGGGCCGGGCCTTTTTGACCCGTGCTTTAGCCGTGGGATAGACGAGGAGATTTTTTTAACCCTAGCCTGAAATTCGCTCCCACGAGGAGTCGAACCCAGGACCTGAGGAGTGCCGCCGAGGCCACCTAACCAGTTCAGCTAGGCACCCTTTGGTAGGACCTGAGGAGTGTCGCCGAGGCCACCTAACGGAAAGTCGAACTCAGCACCTGAGGAGTGCCGCCGAGAAGAGCTAGAACTGATAGATTATTATATATAACAAACTGGAGGCTAAGGAAGTCAGGATAAGGCTCAATGATGATCACTTAGTTAAGCTGATCAGCAGATGTCACCCAAATTGATTATTAGTATACAGTTCTTTAATTAGTAAGCTACTCACACAGTCACCGTGACATTTTCAGCCACCACTTGATTAAAAACACAATGAAACAAAACACTCAGCCTAATCTCTTCCCAACAACCGCCGCGCCCTTCGACCTAACTCAAAAAACTTTAATCTAGTATGTACCAAAATACCTAAATGTTAGCTTGCCGTCTTACTCTGATCAATTAATAACACCATTTGTAATTTGTATGATCGTATGACAACAATTCATATATATGAAATCGCAACCCACATGATGAAGTGATCTGCAGAATCAGTTGAGGTGTCTTACATCGATTAATTGCTTGTCCTGTCGTCTGTGATTGCAGTGGATCTTCTGGGTGGGTCCATTCATCGGCGCCGCCATTGCCGCGGCGTATCACCAGTACGTGCTGAGGGCCAGCGCCGCCAAGCTGGGATCATCTGCCTCCTTCAGCCGCTAGATCGAAGGCCTCCCGCCGGACAAGGACAACCGGAGGCATGAACTGTAGATATATCAGAGGCCGGCCTCCTCTCCTCCACTGCACTCGTGAATGCCTACATGCGTCGTTGGTTGCTTCTAGCCATGCGTTATACATGCACGCCTTATGATCAGTTTGCGTCTGTATTTCCACTGCATTATTTGCTCGCTTTTTCTTCCAAGCTAGTGTGATTGTGCTGTTCTACGTACTTATCCGTGCACGACAACTGGGCAAAATGAAAAAGAAAAGATAAATGCATATATGTAAAGTTTTTGAAGTACTTGAAATTGAATGCTTTTGTTGACTCGCTCGTGTCACTGTTGCTGCACGCTGCATATGCCATGTGGAGTGCTGCGCCTAGTCCCTCTTTGGCAACGGCATCACTCCATGAGGCCTCAAATTTCAGAACCATTCAGGGCACCTTTGGAACACAGAATTTTGAGAAGTGGGAATAGAAGAAAAAAAACGTAGGAATAGAATAACCTTAATCTTGAATCATATTGATTGAGAAAATTCAAAAAAAAAAAACTTAGCACAAGAAAAACACTGAAACCAATGAGATATAATGAGAGGGAGTGACACAAGGATAACTTTCTATGAGGTTCAACATCTTAGTAGAATTTCTCTAAAATTTCTATGGAACAAGAAGTCATTCCATACTTATACTAGCTGACCTATGTCTATATCCATACTTATACCTACTGCTAATGGGAAAGAGGATTCTTTCATCCGTCGTATTTTACTTCACATAGACCATAATGCCCTTGCGGCCCTCTCTATCTCATCCTCGGTTCTTGTGTGGGACCCACTGCTACCTATTTCTCTCTTGTATTTTTTTTCAATGGTAATTTTCATTCAACGCTTAAGCATAGAGTTCAAAGATGGGACAAAAAAAATACCCCATTGATAGTTGGGCCCCCTTGATAGTTTCTAGAGTCCAAACGGACCCAAACTAGCATTATGAAACCGTCAAAGTTCTGCGAGTACTAGAAAGGAAAAAGTCCTCTTGACCTCAAATTACAATAGATAACAAGAGATATACTAGTAAATGATAAAAAAAGATAACGAGAGATATACTTCCTCCGGTTCTCTAAAGCAAGTCGTTTTGAGGTTGTCTTAAGTCAAATATTTTAAACTTTGACTACAAATAATTTCTTTTGGATTGAGTTTGAAAATATGAAAGTGATGTAAGTATATTCATCTCGAAATGTAGTTTCATAAAAGTATATATTGATTATATTTTATAAATATTTTATAGCTCAAAGTAGTGGTCAAAGTCGTTTCTTAAAGACCGTGTCGATGTCCAAAACGACTTGCTTTAGAGAACCGGAGGGAGTACTAGTAAATAAACACAAAAAAATAAGACAATATAAGATCCAAATCATTTCAATCTACTCCTTCCATCCCAAAATAAGTGTCATTCTTACTTACTAAGAAGTTAATTTTTTTTACCTTTGACCAAATATATATAAGAAAATAGTAATATATGGTGCATAACTAATATCATTAGATGAATCTTTGAATATATTTTCATCATAAACTTATTTGGAGATATAAATGTTGCTAATACTTTCTACAAACCTAAACAAACTTAAGAAAGTTTGACCAGGACGCATCCCACAGTGACATTTATTTTAGTACAGAACAAGTAAGCACCATAATATAGAGCATGCTTTTTTTAGAGAATATCCGAAACCGATTTCATATTTTTCTGAGCTAAAATATATATCACGTAGTGACATTTATTGGTAGAGAGGGAGTATGAGTTTACTATAATTAAGCTAGATTTGGGATTTTAAATTCTATAATATATTCTTTAAAAATGTTTGGTACATTTGTTAAGCTTTATTTCTGTAACTTATTTTTGGTAAGGTGTATTAGACTCGAAAAAACAATGGTTTCAATAGTTGAAGTTGAAGGCAGAACATCCGGTTTACTGGCGGGCTGAGGGAGGTACAGAAGGACTTTTTTCCTACCAGAAAAGAACCAGGCCCAAACTAGCATTATGCCAAGGAAAAAGTCCACTTTCCGTCCCTTAATTTTTGGCAAAGTCCGTTTTTCATCTCTCAACTATAAAACCAGACACAGGCGGTCCCTCATCTATCCAAATCCGTGCACGTGACCTCCACTCTGGTTTTTGCAGTGGGCCCATATTGATTGAATCAGCCCAAGGCTAAATTGAAGACAGCTGCCGACTCATCTCATCCCCTACCCAGCGCAGCCACACACACATCTGAGCAGCGGTCTTCCTCGCCACCGACGCCTTCTCGCCGCCGTCTTTCCGCGCCGAGTCGCGACGCCCTTAGGTTCCTCGTTGGTACTCCCCCCCATTGTCCATGGCCCCTAGCACATCTCGTATTCTCCTGCCGCAGCCAGTATCGGCGACAGAGCCACCGCTAGGAGAAAGTGGCATGCTGCTAATCTGGTGCCCATACTGCGGCATGGGGAGGATACTCGAGCTGATCTCAAAAATAGATGAGCACCCAAATGAAAGGTTCTTCAAATGCCCGAGGAAGTACGTAAAGGTTAGTTTTCTTGATTTAAATTTCTAGCGATTATTGAAATTTAGGGTTTATACAGTGTAGACTGAAGTTTTCTTTTTTTATCGTTTCAGTTCCCTCTTTGTGATTTCTACATGTTCGAAGAAGAATATGCCAACTTTCTTATTAATTATGGGATGCTTCAAGAGTCTGAGATGTGTCATTACCATCCATTGGAGACGGCACATACTGTGAAAGGGGCTGTGCAAGCTGAGATTTATGAATATGTTAAACCACTGAAGAAAGAATCTGTTGGGGTGTATGAGCATGGGAGGACTACAGGTTCAGCAAGTAAGTGAGGCATGAAGAAGAAGAAGAAGCAAGGACATATAAATTAGATGATGTGTTTTGTTGTTGCTGTCCTATTGTTGTTAGGGTTCAATTCTGCCATTCTTCTTGTGTTGGTTCTGATGCAAATGTTCAAGTGACAGCTGTTTTAGTATTGTAAAATGGGTCCAGTTACTTGATCCTCATTTATCAATGTGTATGACTATGTGAATATTAATATTCTGATGTATTGATGTGTCTAGTTCCTTTTCCTATCATTTACATTCAAGTAACAACAGCAGACATAAGTCCAAATAGTAAGGCCAGATGTTTGGCATAACATAAATGGTAGCGTTACATACACATAGTTTGGCATACATAAAAGGTAATCAGCAGCAGTACTTAAGTTTCGCATATATAATTGTCATACATGGCATAGTTATTCAAGTTTGGCATACGGCCAGGCACACAAACACATCACAGCTTATCACTTTTCCATGGAGGAATCATCATGAGTGGACCAGTTCCAAATCTCTTTGGAGTAGGCTTAGACTTTGCCAGTTCTTGAGCTGACACATGAGCAGATGCAGTCCCACTAGTTAGTTGTATATGCACACTGCAATTAACATTGGAATTCGGCACACTTGCTTGTAGGTTCATTGTAGCTGACCCAGAAGAAATTGTTGAAACTCTGGCATGTGCACTTGATTTGATGGTTTTTTGTGAGTTTGTTGTCTTTGCCTACATCAGTCATATGAAGCTAGTTTAAATTTCGAATACAAGATGCATAAGTTCAAAAATTGAGATGTTCTTTTGAGATGTAGGTAAACATACCTTTTTCCTACGCTGTGTACTAGATACATCGTCTGTGTAATTCCTTTTCCTAGAGCTTATGCTGTTCTGTTGTGTATTAGAGAGCACAACAATAACATTTGGGTTACCTGGTCCATGTGGGATACATCCTGTACCTGAATGAGATCCAGCTGGCTGTGAGTTACCTACTCCCTCTGAGTTCATGGCTGCGTGTGTGTTGCCTGCTGGTTTTGAGCTACCTCCTGTCTGTGAAGTTCCTGCTCTACTTCTCTTCTCACATGTTGACCTATTGTGTCCAGGCATGTGGTATTTGCTGCATCTGATAACTGTACCAGTTTTTGGCATTTTAGTGGCCTTTCTCCCTTCTGTTGCCTCCCTTCTCCTCTCAGTCTTTGGCCTGCCAGGCATCTTCACATAACCAGGAGCTCTAAGGGGTACCCTATCAGATGACGGCCAGCTATTCATACCCTCAACTGGGTTTAAGCAGTGATTGTATGTTTGCCTGAAGTGGTGAACGGAATAGCAATCGGCCACATAATCATCTAGGCAGTTGGTCTTGAACAATATACATGAAATGGCATGGCAACAAGGAAGTCCAGCCAATTGCCAATACCTACACTAACAAGTCTTTGACACCAAATCCACTGTGAACCTATTGTCATAATGCTTAACTTCGTATTTGTCTTCTCCATTGCAGATGGCATGATAGTATGCAGACTGAGATATGTACACATTTAATTTTTTATTGATGTTTGGGCATATAATAGTTGTCCACTTCTCAGATTTAGTTCTTTGTTATTGGATCCTGACCATTACCTTCCTCCAAATAGTTTCTAGCATGGTGATTATAGGGAAAAACCTAGCCTCAATGATACATTTGTTGAATGACTCACAAATATTGTTATCTACTGAGTCATAGTTAGAGCCCAACCTGAACCAAGCTCTGCTCCAGTGCTGAGGATGAGTGTTCAATATAGCTTGTGCACCTGCTCTAGTTTCTCTTGCTAGCTTCGCTCTTGCCAAATTAAAAAGCATAATGCAAGGTGCTTTAGCACACCTCCAAAAAAAATTCTGGTAGTCCTTTTTGTAGAACTCCTTCTTCCAGTTTGCATAAATGTGTCTAGCACAATTCCTATGTTTAGCTTCTAGTGCCCATTTGCTGACAGCATTAAGAATTCCCTACACAAGTTGGAATAGGTTTATAACATCTACCTTAACAGGTTTGAAATTATAACACTGGAAAAGTTAATCAGCAGGTTACCTTTTGTTGGTCTGAGATGAAAACCCATTCCTTTTCTCCTTCAACACCAACATCCCTACACAGCAGATCATAGAACCAATCCCAATTATCATTGTTCTCCTTGTCCACAACTACCCAAGCGATAGGGTACATCTGGTTGTTAGCATCCCTCCCAAGAGCACAAAGAAGTTCACCATTAGTTGTTCCTTTGAAGAAACACCCATCTAACCCGACAACCTTCCTACAGCCAGCTTTGAACCCATTTTTGCAAGCATCCAAACATATGTACATTCTTCTAAAAATAGGAGGCTCTACATAATCTTCCTTGTGAACAATCACAGTGCTTCCTGGGTTGCTTCTCAGAAGCTCCATCTGGTAGTCATACAACCTGGAGTACTGCCCTTTAGTTGCATCATAAGCTTTCTTCATCACTAGTGCTTTTGCTCTCTTTAGCTTGGACATTGAAACATTGGCAAACATTTCTTCTTGCACTGTCTGCAACATATGTCCAAGTTTCTAGCATGGGTTGGCAAAAATAAACTTCTCATATTTTTTAGCAATTCTAGCTAAGGTGACAAGTTTGTTGTCTCTTCTAGGTGGGCACATGTGATTGTTGGTAAGTGTATAGATTTGCCAACTATCAGACCTAGAAGTATTTGACAACAAACATACCCATGTGACAACCTTTCCAGTTACATACGGCCCTCACCCTCTTTGAATCATCCTTAGGAAATCTAATCACCTTTATCTCTTCCAAGCCATGTCTAATTGCAGCCTTCTTGAATTGTTTCTTAGAACTAAACTTCATTCCCAACTTAAACTTGACAACCGGCTTGTTCTTGTTAAATCTTGGATAAATGTTACCTTGCCCAACACCTTCTAACTCATCAACATACTCTGCATCACTACTGTCTGCATATGGAGTGTAGTTGCCATCATCCTCAATTTCCTGCCTAGTTTGGGGCCCAAATGTAACACCCTCATATATCACATCATCTAAGCTTGATGCCTCACCCCTCTTCAACTTCTTCTTGAAATCCTTAAATTTTCTACATATCTAGGCTGCTTCATCATCATCACCTGAACTGCATGAGTCTCCAGGCATGTACTCACTGTCGGTGTCAGACTTCTCATCTCCATTTGGCTCACTTGCTCTCCCTGCCTCTCTAGGACTACTGTAAAATTGTCTAACAAGGGCAACTTGCTTGTCTACTTCTTTACTTTCAGTTTTCCTTACAACCAAAGGTGGCAGATCCTCATCTATGTCATCATCCTCTGAATTATCTTCCATCTCTTCCTCGTAGCCACTGCCTTCATCTGTTGTATCCTGCTCACGTACAGGAACTATCTCATGCTTTTCAACGTACACGTCTACAACACCACCTTCACCAATGCAATTAGACATGTACTGGCACACCTGGTCATCAACCAAAGCTCTTAGGCTTGTCCTCATATATCTCCCTGGAAATAGCCAATGCAACATTATGCCTTCTTTGACATCACAATGGTCACAGAGATGACCAAGAACTTCAGGGAGTGACAACTTGTCTCGGTCAACATAAGACATAGCTTGAGTACCTCCAACATAAAACAGATCATTGCTATTACTCAAGAACTCCCCATTAAAATGAAACCACACAGGAAGGACGTCAAAAAAATTCCATTGCCAACCACTTGAAGCCTACATGCAAAACATACACACTATGAGGTACTACTTATAAAATATGTTCAATAAATAACATCGGTGCTTAAAATATGACTACAAGTGCAGCATAAAGCTCCCTGCTGGCCTTAAAATATGACGAACATTCAAAAGCATGAAGGTTGGATGTACCAATTACAAGTTAAAGTACACTAGCTCCAAGAGAATCAGCTGTAACACCTCGGTGTTAAGCGTGCATTACCATTTCATCCCATGAGCATAATCATCATCACCTCATGCATAAGCATCATTCATGCATTTCATTTCGAAAGAAATGAAGTATCATTTCATGCGATGCTTAAGTGATTGACATTCATTTATGGTTTAAACAATGTGAAATGCCATGCTCATGCTTGGATGCCATGATTCTTGTTTTAATCACTAAGATAGCTTAAAAATATTTAGGATACAATATGGAGCAAAGTTCATATTTAAATTTTTACCAAATTTTGCCTTTAAAAATAATTCTCCAAAATTAGGGTTTTGAGTTAATATTGATTTTATTTTGTAATTCAAAATATATTTGAAATTGGACTTTGGTCATAAAAGCAAAGTTGTAGATCTTGAAAAATGGAACAACTTTCATTTTTACACCAACTTTTGAAACTACCTTGAAATAGTTCAAAATTTCATTTGAATGAAAAAGGATTTGAAAAGAATTTGAAAAAGAACATTTTAGTAAAGTAAATGGGCATGGCGCCTCGCCTTCGCCTAGCTACATAAGCCCGGCCCGGCACCTGCTCCGCCAAGGCAAGGCCTCCTGCTCCAGCTGCTGCGCTGTCACAAGACTCACCCGGCCACGACATGACAGGCCAAGACGCTGCAGCGTGGCGCCATGCGCCGGCGAAGCACGCGCCATGCAGTAGCCCGGCCTGCCCCGCGCCCTCCTGTCGCGCCTTCATCTGCCCGACCGCGCTGCGCTCCTCCTCACTCCTCCACTTCGCTCTCTCGCCTCAGCCAGCGCTAGCAGCAGCCGCAGCACTCGCCTCCACCGCGCGCCATCGCCGGAGTTGGCCGTTCCGGCCGCTCGAGTGCGCCGGAGCCATCTCCATCTCCATCTCGCCAGCAGCATCGCCTCCACCTTTCGCAACCGGTGCTCGAGTCTATTCGCCGTGGTAAGTCTTCTCCGACCGGTAATTCCTCGTCGGAGTAAGCTCTTCCTCGCCGAAGCTTGGCTCTACGCGGACAGCCCCTCTCCGCTACACCTCTCTCCTTCCTTTCGAGCGCATGAGCACTGCCTTGCCGTCGCGAAACTCTTGCGCCTCCCCACACCCTGCCATGGCCGGAGTCGACGTACCGCCGACGAGCCATGCCTCCACTCCGCCATGCACACCGCCGAGCTCCATTCTGAGCTCCTCCCATGCCTTCTCTTGGTGCACTATGCGTCCACCTCGTCGCGGGTGAGATGCTGGTGGTGGCCGTGCCACCGGCTAGCTCACCGTCGGCGAGAGCTGGCCGGTCAGCTCCGCCCCTGTCTCGTCTGACCGACAGGTGGGGGCCATTGACCATGGGGGCCCGCTCGTCAGCGCCCTAACTCAGGTCAGGGTGCACTGCACCGGGTGCACCCAGCATTTTCATCGGCTAATTTTTGAAAGTATTTAAGAAATGATTTTTAGATTTCTATTTAAATGCTTTAGGAATTTATAACTTGCTCAAAATGGCTCTAAAATTGTTGAAACAAATTTTGCTAGGTTCCTTGTTACCAGATCTACATGATAAAAATATTGCATGTCATTTTTGAGATACTTTTCTATGGAGTTTTATTTAATCATTGAAATTGATATTTTCTTGAGAAAGCCATAATAAATCATAGAAAGATCAAAAAAATAGGATTCCATGTTTGTTACTCTTCTTGTGTAATGTACTTTCTAGAAAAATTATATGCCATGCATGTCCTGTAGAAAAAATATGAGATGTAGTTCAAGTGCCTTTAATGGCTGATTTTTTGTTATTTTTGCTAGAGAGCAAAATTTGTATAAAACATGCATGTGATAATTTTTGTGCAATGATTATTTACTGTATAGAACATAGGAAAAATATTACATCCGTTGTTTGACACTTTTCATAATACAAAGTATTTTCATGTTCATAATTATGCCATAGCTTGTCATTTTTGTGTAGGCTAATCCACTTATCCAAATGCCATAAAAAGTTAATGGTAGACTAATTAGGATAGTACTGTGCTATGGTAATTTTCTAAGATTTTTCTATACTATAAAAATAGATATTGCTATTCAAACTTATTATTAATTAGGGTTTAATCAAATGTTGCTTTATGCATGATTAAAAAATTAGTGAAGCTTTGGTGTATCTTTGAAGCATTTAATGAGATGTGTTGACTTAGCATATTAGTAGTAGAAGAGAATACAGTAGATGACATGTGCTTGTAGTACATGTTCTTAGATGATGTTGACTACCTTGCATTCAAGCCTATTCATTGTGTTCATTTCATCCGATGCACCTTTTGCATAAGCACTTACGCACCTGCATCATACAGGATCGCAAACCGAGAGCCCAGTCGTTACACCCGAGGAGCAGCTCGAGGTGCAGCCGCAGGAAGTGACCAAAGCAGACGAGGAGGACGTTGAGGAACTTCCGAAGTGCCCCGATCACCGCTCGAGCTCCTTCGAGAGAGGCAAGCCCCGGAGCATTTTTCTTCCCGGTTTGCAATTATTAATTAAATGCTTTACTTTAATTGATGCATTACGTTCAGGAGTTGTTTGCAACCGTTGCTGCATTATACCTTGTCTACCTTTGTTATACTATATCCTTGTTACCCTGGTATCCGCAGTCGAGTCAATGCTTAGCTGGCTTAGATCGGTATAAGTCGGATGATTTCCTGTCACCTGCGAGTTATAGGTGGTTACCTGGATCTGCTTGGATAACTATGTAGTCATGGTATACTAAGTGTTAATTGAAGTTGAGACCGGACGGAGACTTACAGAGTTTTGGACTGTAGTGCTTTCCGTCTGTGTCGATTAAGGACCGACCGTTGTTGGGCCTCGAGTCATGTTGAACGAACGATGCCTTACATTTAGTCGGGCGAATAAAGTACCTTTCGACCATGAAGCTAGGAGATTATTTGGGCCGAGTAGATTGCCCGCTGCCAAGACCTGCATCGGGAAGCAGTGTGGTAGGAGGACGGGCGCTGATGATAAGACCGAAAGGCGTCTCGTCGGCCCCGGGTACATGTGGTTCCTGGAAAATCAAGTTTTTCCTGGATAGTTGACTCGGTGACCGATACCTCACTTTAGCGGGTGAGTGAGGTTTATGTAAGGAATAAATCACCAGCTGGTTAGGAATCGATTCGAATCGCCATCGCTCCTGGATAGTGAGCACTTGACTTGAGTGACTTCATCGTAGTAATATTGATGGAACACTTGGACAGTTATAATGAATATGACATTATGAAAGTTGTTAATGATCATTGGTTATCATTATTTACTTAATCACATGCTTGCTCTAGTATAGATGCAAATGTAGTCGACAGGTTAATAATAAGTAACTTGACAATAATGTTTTCGGAAAGGTTCTTGAAATACTAAAAATGCTCTCTTTTTGCAAATGAGTCAGCTACCCTACTATAAAGTCCTTCATAATACTTGGTGACACTTTATTTTTGGTTATGTCGGGTAAGTCTAGCTGAGTATCTTCTCGTACTCAGGGTTTTATTCCCACTTGTTGCAAATGGGCAGATGTATTACGGCTACTGTATCAACTGCCTTTATCCTGCGATGGGTGATGCTTAGGACCATGGGCATGGTCATTCCTTACGTCCCGTCTAATGCTTTTGTTGGAGATGATCATCAGCTGGCACTGTATTTGAACTCCGTGTGAGTGTGTGTGGTTTTGAACAAATGGCTTCCGCTATTTCTATTTGAACTCATTTTGTAATAACTATGTTTAAACTCTGATGTACCGGTGATGCAAACTTTTATGTAATATGTGATGGTGACCGCTAAACTTATTACGATCTTGGCTGGTATGTGAGTTGGTTTGAAATCCTTCGTGATTTCACGAACTACCGGGTTATACGGGCTTAAGTTTGCTAAATCGTTTGCTCTGGCGGATGATTTTCTTACTTAATTTCGTATAATTGGTCGGTTCTGTTACATCAACCATCCCGAAACAAAAACAACTAAAATGTATAGGGATCCGTGTGCCTCAGTACTTACCTTGGTCACCACGCGGAGTCGATCTGACCCAGCGTTAGATGAATCCAAATCGACAGCCAATACGCCGCCGCAGACGTATGCCGTCGTGCGAGCCTCTGCTTCGACGACCGCCGCCTCGGCAACCAGTGTCGCGACGTCCGCTGCCGTGCAGCCCGAGCTAGGGTTCCGATTTGGGGGAATCGATTTCTTTTTTTAACGAACAACCAGAGCTTGGTCACGGGTCAGCTGTCTTCAATTTAGCCTTGGGCTGATTCAATCAGCATGGGCCCACTACAAAAACCAGAGTGGAGGTCATGGGCACGGATTTGGATACACGAGGGACCGCTTGTATCTGGTTTTCTAGTTGAAGGACGGAAAACGGACTTTGTCAAAAGCTGAGGGACGGGAAGTGGACTTTTTTCCTTATGCCACCATCAAAGCCTCACCAGCGACCACCGCGGCAGCCCGGCCCGCCAGAATTCGGACTGGGGGCCTGCTGCCCTGCACATTCCTTCGTCGCGGTAACGGTGTGCGGGTGTCGACTGTGGACTAGTGTCGACCAGCCGTCCCCATCGCCGGATCCCTCCAAGATCCCCAAATCCCAGTCATCAATCAACGCCAGGCGCCCAGGCCAACCTACGCGCAACGATCCCAAGAACGCACGCTTCTCTCGGCGCCGTCTTCGTCACCTGCCCTGCTCCCGCTCCCCGAACCCGACCGTCCCCCCTCACCGCCGGCGAAGAAGATGCACCTGTGGCCATCGCTCCGGATCCGCGACTCCTTCAAGCACGGCTACCTCCAGAAGCTGGAGCTCAACCTCGACAACATGAAGCGCGCGCAGCGGCAGCGCCAGGGGCGGCAGGGCGAGGGCCAGGAGGACCAGGACGGCCAGCCTGGCGGCGGAGGGAAGGCGCCGCTGCTCGAGGACCGCTCGCCGTCGGGGTCCGTGCTGGCCGGCGCGCTCGAGCTCGCCTGGGACGCCGTCTTGCTCCTCACCTGCTGCTGCTGCTGTTTCTGCTGCGGAGGTATGGACACGGACGCCTGTTTCTAGTTACTCGATGAAGACCACTATCGTATATTCTGTTTCGTATATACTATTTTGAAATCTTATTGTCAAGAGAGCTTGCCATTTCTCCTGGAATCGCTAAGTTTTACACTTAACGTTTTTATAATTAAGCTTTACACTTAATAAAACTACAGCTGCAGAACAAAACATTGTTGACTAATCCTCAAGAAAGTGGCCTCCCGTTCCCATGTAGTATAAATGATTCCATCCATTGGGAAACAAATTTCTAAACTAGTATAAGACAGTTTGCATTTAAATCACCATTATTCTAGCATCCCTTGAAGAGAAATGTTCAATTAATCATCTTCAACTTGTAAATTTAGGTTCCCAATTTAATAATCCTCATTTCATACCCAAGTGGCCAAGTAGAACTTCAATAACCTGAATTTATAATTTGTATTAGCTCCTTTTGTATCTGTAAAATAGCCACTGGAATAGTCAACAAAATTTCAATGCACTAATTTCATTATAAAAATAATTTGGCCTTTGCAGAAATTTCAAAAGGGCTACTGGTCTGCTATTCTTAGTATATCTTTTCCTTCTAAAGAAAGCAAACGAAAACAAAGAGGAGGAAACACGCAGGGTAGAGACTTGAGAGGTTGGGGACATAGATCTCAGTAGGTCATTGTTCGATGAAAAAGTGGGTAAGAAGGATATGAAGGTTAGAGAGCAGAAGTCATTAAATGGGTAGAAAATGGGGGCCATTATTTGCTTTGGGTTGGTTTATGCTCAGCTCATGCTCAGGTACAGGTCTGTCATATGGATGAGATTAGGGTGATATTGGAATGGCTTTGATGTCTCATTCCTTTTGTGTGGTGCAGCATTGATTTCCTGATCCATTAAACTTGGTTCATGTTTTTTTAGTGAGCCCTTGGGATTGGGAGTGCGTATAAGTTTATATTTATAGGGTGTGTTGAGCATATGCCACTCCAACTCCCCTTAGCTGAGTTTCAGGATATGACTCCATGCCTCACAGTCACAGACAAGAGTTTCCAATAGCAGCAATAAGCTAAATATTTTGACACCCTTAATTAGAGCATCTCCAAAAGCTCCTTAAAACAACTTCGTTAATTCATTTTGGAAAAAGGGCCCTCCAACAGCTTTGTAAAACAACTCCCTAAAGATAAACACTTGGTAAATCTCCCCCTCAACTCGCAGATATGTGAGTACCTTCCGTGCTTGCTATTTGCCCGGGTGCCCCTTCCCCATGGGCCCCTCCTCCGCGGTTGCCCCTGCCCCCCTCCGCGGTTGCCCCTGCCCCCTCCTGCCCAGATTTCCCCCTCCTGCTCGGTTTTCAAAGTTTAGGAAGCTAACCGTTGGAGAAAGCCAAAACTAGAGCTACCTATTAGTGGCTTTTGCTTCTGTCGCAGCTTGTAGATTATTCTCAGTCTTATATTTGTTTGTTCAATTCACTAGAGTTCTTGCAAGTCTTGCTAACTACTGGTACTCCTGAATCCTTGTGGAACAAATTCACACTAGAGAAGCACAGTATTTTAAGTAAGCTGGTATCCCCAGCCTTGGATCGATGGCCTTCGTTAAGCTTTCTAATAAAGCCAGGTGAAAGCCTTTGATCTAAAAAAGCACAGTATTTTAACCAGCGGGATTTAGTTCAACATTGTATCAGATTTTAGGCTGGTAGAAAGGTTTGATATTTGAAACTTAGGAATTTGTTTCCAGTTTTATGGCCCTCCGTTAATATGTTCATTTGGTTAGCCTATTTTGTGGACACCAACAAGGTCATTTCTTTACCAAATTAACATTTCAAAATGTACTTCTTGAAGGGGAAATTTTAGAATTGAAATTTAGGGTCACTAATTTTATGATTTGGTTAGGTTATTTTGACTCATTGGCTGTTTCAAACTTTTTTCATTTCTCTTGGGGAAATCCTTGGTCAAATTACATCTAGAGAATTGAAAGGATCAGCTAAACGAAACATAGTATATCTTGATTGTTTGTTCCTCTGGGTGTAAATAATTCATGTAGCCTATGTAAAAAAAAAAAAGCCTCTCTAAACCCTGGTGTGCAATGAAATATCTAGTCTTCTCTATGCCTGTAGATAGTCTCTCAGATTTCTGAAAGAAGGTGTACCTTGATGTGGATCCACTGGAATGGATTGTAGCAGTATATAACTTGAAAGTAAGACACTGAAGGAGCTCTTAATGGCTAGAGCTAGCATAAATTTGTTCTAACTTTTTATATACCAAGGTTCTGTCCAATACAAAGTGGTAGTGGTGACTGGTGGTGGCTGATGATGGAGGATGATAATTACACACCTCTGGTAGTGTGTCTTATAATTGTAAAAAATGCCTCAACTTCAAGGCCAACCTACCTTTCTCCTGGTATACAGGGAAGTGCTAAATTTATGACTAAACCTTTTAATAATTTTCTGTGCTTTATTTGTCACACAAGTAGATAACTGTTGCTATCGATGGTGTCACTCACCTTGCAGTTTATTTTTTCACACAAGTAATAAGATTTTAGACATTTTCTGTTTTCCATATCAGCATGTTCTCTCTCTATAACAATAGTGTGAAATGCCCCCATGCCAATGGTACCTGTGACTGGTTCTAACTTTGCCTTTTATTGATTATTAATGTATCAGCTTGTAGCGATGAGGAGGATCACCCAACTGCCCGCTAAGAAGCGCCTTCTGGGGCCTGATAATTCATCAGATCAGGAAAACCAGATAATTTGTGGGCATAATGAATTGAAGTAAAATAGTTCAAATAGTTTCGGTCAGCATTGTATATACGGTTTCCTATTTAATCCTTATGCGGCCCATAGATGTCACTGATAAACGGGGGAAAAAATCCTTAATTTTTTTTGGAAATCCGTTGTGTAGGCATTTTCGGGCGTGTAATCGGTTCATATCTGTATCCAGGATAATCTGTGCGATTGCTGTTTCTCACCGACACAATGGCGTTTGGTCCAGGTGATGCTTGCACCGCAAATGCTGAATCTCCTGCTCCCTCGGTTTACAAATACTTGACGTTTTAGACAAGGTTTGAGTCAAACTTTTAAAACTTTGATTAACAAATAAATTTTAGGGTATGATTTAGTACCTTGAAGATCATTTGCATAGATGTTTGTTGAAATGTGCTTTCATATATGAACAAAAAAATTGTTAGGATGTTCATTTATATCCCAATAGAAATAGTGATCAAACCTATATTTTAGATACCATTCCATTGTCCATTACGTCAAATGTTTGCAAACTGGAGGGAGTAATTTACGTCAAATATTTGCAAACTGGAGGGAGTAATTTGAGTGATGACATTTTTACATTTGTCTCGATCTTGTTTCATGAGCTGCGGTTTCTGCCTTTCTTGTTTCCTTGGTTTGTGGCAGGAGCCAAGGGACAAGGGTCTCCGCTGTTCGCTCCGTTCCTCTCACCGGCGCCCCCCAAACCGCACGTCCGCTGTCCGCAGCGAACACCTGTCCTCCTCCCGCTCTCCCTGTAGTCCTGTACGCAACATGACGACGTCGTGCCCGAAGAATTCCATGCGTGCGCGGAACAGTCTCGCCAGTCGCCATCACTCACTGAGCACGTAGTGTCGATCTGCGCCGGCTTACGTCCACGCAATGGACGCCTTCTTCAGCGCCCTCGACTCCCGGCTGCGGGTGGCGGTGAAGGTGGCGGACTCCATCATGGTGGGGCTGGTGAACGCCGCCATGGAGGACGCCTACAAGAAGAGCCTCTGGAAGGACGGCGACCTGGAGCGCCTCTTCCAGAAGCTCCGCTTCGCCGAGCTCGCCATCATGCAGCTCGAGTGGTGCCTCCGCTTCGTGCGGGGGGAGATGGAGGCCGACGGCGGTGCCAACGACGGCCACGAGGAGCTGCTAGACGACCTCCTCGAGACGCGGGATCGGATCCAGGCCCGCCTCGACGAGGCCGAACTCGCCGTCGCCCAGGCGGACACCGACTACATGCGCCGGAAGCGCGATGAACCCGTCCGCAGTCGATCGCCGCGGCGCCGAGGTGGAGGTCGGTGCGTTCGCGGAGCTCAGGGGGTCCGTGGGCCGGAAGATGACGAGGATGAGGGCCAGTCTGGAGGACGCGAGCTCCGAGCTGGCGGCGCTCATGCAGAAGGTCAGCGGCGAGGCGTCGGCGATGGCGAGGCTGCAGGACCCCGGCCACCAGGGCGACGGGGTCAAGGGCGTCTCGGGATTCTACAGCATGGCGCAGCTGCTTATGGAGTTCCAGGAGATGGTCCTGGACGCCGGCGTCGTCAGAGACAGTGTGGCATCTGCGTTCGATGCCATGGAGAGGTCGGTCTCCGCGCAGCGGGCAGCCATGGATGAGCAGCGGTGGCTCATGGATGCAGAGAAGGAGATGTACAGTACCGTCGTTGAGGGTTTTCTCCGGGAGATCAACGTGGAATCAACTAAATGCGATCATTCTGAGGGAGAAGGATGTCCGACGCCTACATTGCATCATAACAGAGGTGCTACTGAGAATAGTTCTGACGAATTCCAGTCTCTGAAGGATGAAACTAGCCAGCTGCACTCAGCAAGGCTTATCCCGGAAGAGAAGTCAGAGAGCAGCAGACTATATTATAATTCAGAAGAGCAGCGTATCTCCCAAGAGGAAGCTGAAAGGCTAACAGAAAGAACGATTGATTCAGAAATCAGATGTGAACTGCAGCATGTGTTATACTCAGCAGTATTCAGAGACCTATTAAGGAAGCTTTCGGTTCAGGCATATGATGCACAAAAGCTTACAGAACAAAGAGATGAAATGGAAATCAGATGTAATCTACAGTATGAGATACATAGTATCATATTCAAAGACTTGGTGAAGAACCTAGGTGTTGAATCTGTTGATCATCTTATCATGACCTCCATCGAAGATGAGGTGCATACAGCTCTTCTTGCCAAGACTATGAATGCTTGGAAGATCACTACTGAAATGGTTCACAGTGAGAGACTTATCAAGGAAGAGATCGACCACATTGTCTTTGGAGGTTTGATAAATGATTTGGTAAATGGTCAAAACTTAAGTGTGGTCAAATATCAACACCAAAATAGACCCAGCGATAATCTGGGAAGATTTGGTATGATTGACAACACAGAGCAGTTAGCGAAGGGGAAGATACAAGTCATTGTAACTACTGAAGATGAAGGTGTAGGCTCTGATCAACATCGAGTACTTGTGAATCAAGAAGATGATGTTCATGATTCAGGTAATTGCAATTTTGAAGAAGGATTAGACGATCGCAGGAAACTGCAAACAGAAGAGGTAGCTATAGTTTGTGCATGCCTTCTAAAGGAGTGAATCAAGGAATGTGCATTCCATTGACAAACATATATGAAATGTTCATGGACTTCGAGACTATTGCCTGTGGAAAAATAGGAACAGCTGTGCTGAGGTTTGTAAGTCTTCATCCTATACTTCCTTATGAACGCAATAGGAAGTTCAAACAGAAATTGATTTAGTAGTTCGGATTCGGATACAGACATGCAGTTCAGAAAGGTGTGAGAGAGGTGGCACTATTTAACTAACCTATGATCAATGGATCATTGTACAGATTGAGAGACTTGGACAAACAATTGTCAAACCTGATTGGACAAGTGAACTCTCTTAAAACAAGTGAGCTTATGTACCGGAGGGCTTTCACTAGGAGATGTTGCGACCTCCAAACAGCAGAAGCAGAGGTTAGAAACCATTTCAATAAGCTAAATTTCAGCATAAACGAACAGGGTGATGCATGATTATTTCTCTGTATGCTGTCCATAAAGTCATACTGTGTCTTCAGAAAAAAGGGCTTTGCTACTGCCTCATGCATGGCCAAAAGCACTGAAATTAATATAAAGACAAAAGGAGCTAACCTTTTATTGCCATGAACCATAGGTGGATCTTCTTGGCGATGAAGTGGAGCTGCTTCTTGGACTTCTCAGTAAGACATACCGAGCTCTGGAGCATTACTCACCAGTTCGTCAACACTATGTGGGGGTAATTTTCTAATTTCACCGAGTTAAAAGGCTTTGGTAAGTTTAACATGTGCAGTGTTAATGTGTTATGTCATCTTGGAATAAAATTTGTTAAAAGCTAATGCAGCTACAGAATCCAACATTTTATGTTCCCCACGTGTCATCTTGATAACTGAGCTTTAACAAGCATACATTTCTACAAAACCTTTCGGCATTTTCAATTCATTTCTTTCTTAATTTGTTGGCGTGGAGTGATGCAGAATTAGCCATACGTTTGCCTTCCAGATCAAGGAGATGATGAACCTGCTTGGGAAGGAGCTTGCTGTGAGTCTGAGTCATTAGGTTCGGTAACACTCCTTCCGTCCTAAAAAAATATAATTTTAGCATAGTATCCAATTAAATTATTTTAGATTCGATTACATTTATAAAACAAATTATCAATATTTACAATACCAAATAAGTTGTATTAGGTTGGACATTAAATATATTTTCCTAGTATAACTACTGCGTTTGGTATCATAATCACTGATATTTTTTTCTATGAATTTGGTTAAAATTTTATTTTATTAAATACAATTAGAATTATATTTTTTAAAGATGGAGGGAGTACATAATACAGGATACTATGCAGTTAGGACCTACTCCCTCCGTATCAAAATAATTACATTTTTAGGATTCAAAATTTATCCCACAGTAAGAGTGAGTATCTTTAGCTGGCGAACCACCTAAATGCTACTCCTCTGTCCTGAATAAAAAGATTCCTAAAGTTGTCTTAAGTCAAAAATTTAAACTTTGACCAAATTTCTAGAATAAAACGTTAAGATTTATGGTATCATTAGATTTATCGTAAAATATATTTTCATAAGGTGCTTATTTTATGTCATAGATGTTGATACTCTTTTCTATAAAGTCTTCTAGGAATTGATTCATTTAGGGTGTCCCAAATTATAAGACATTTTGATATTTCTAGATTCATATAATTTGCTATGTATCTAGAAATAACATATATCTAGATGCATAGCAAAAGCTATGAATCTAGAAAAGCCAAAATGTTTTATAATTTGGAACGGAGACCTTTCTCTTGTTTTCAAATACGCACGAGTGTACGTATCATTGTATTAGACGAAAGAGAGTATATGTTATAAGGTGCCGTTCCCGGCTGGCAGAAAGACTGAAAGCGGCTACATTTTAAAGTAGCCTTGGTATTAGACGAAAGAGAGTGCTTTCTCTATTTTTAAAGTGCAATCGTTACATGTTTGCATTATTTTTTATAAGCATATATGGATTTTTATCGTAGCCTTGGTCTATTTTGGGACGTAGGGGGTATTTTCCATGCATAACCCTGATCACAGTTAGGCTTCTTTTGGAACCAAGAACATTTTTTCTGTCTTTATATTTTTCTGTCAAAATGAATTGATTATCATGAAATTTCTATATCTCTGTAAAATTTCTACGTTCAAATAAGTTATTAATATTTTCCTTTTCCAAATCTGAGAGAAATGTGCCTAAAGGTTCAACAGAAGGTACCAAAACTGTACTTTACTCTGCAAATTTCGAACTAAAGACACGTAGACCCACTCTCCATTCTCCATTTTCGGATACTTCTGGATCGGAAGTTACCAGCGGTTACCCACTGCTGCACCCACGGCATCGCAGAAACACGGCGCGGATTCTTTGCACCTGCCGTCTCTCCTCTCCACCGCCATCGTAGTTCCTCAGCTCCGTTTCCAAGAGAAGTTATGGAGCTCGATCTGCCGCCGCAACCGGCCGCGCCACTCACCGACCTCGCCGTCGCCATCCACCGCGCCGCGGCGGCCGCGGCCGCGCTCTCAGCCCCCGCGCCCTCGTCCCATGCCGCCTCCGCGGTGTCCGCCCTCCGCGACGCCCACGCCGCCATCGGTTCCTTCCTCTCCCGCCTCGACGCATCGCCCGGTCATGATCAGCCCATGGCGGACAGCGGCGAGGAGCTGGAGGAGGATGGGGAGGGGGCGCAGATGGTCGGGGAGGTGGAGGAGGGCCTCCGGGACTGCGGCCTGCAGGGGAGCAAGCGGCGGAAGCGTTCCGTCCCGCCTTCCTGGCCCCTAGGGCGCCGCTCGAGCAGCAGTTCCGAAGCGGCGGCAGCCGCCGCCGCGCCGGTGCTGGACGTCGAGGGGCGGCGGCGCGCGGCCATGGATCTCTTGCTGCAGTTCCATGCGTGATGCGTAGGAAGGAAGGTGAGTGATATCGTGTTTTGATTCGGTAACGGGAATTTAGTTGTTTGCGTCAGCATTAAATGTAGAAATCGTGAAAATGGTTTTGAATTTCTGGGTATTTTTATTACTAGATAGATATCGTTCATGGTTAATTGGAGCTGGACAGTTAGCGGTGTCCATATGATCAATTGACGATGAGATTGAAATGAACTATGGCGAGAAAACAATGAGTGTACTCAAATTTCACCAACTTCCAATGCTCCCTCATGTGCAAAGTAGGTTTTGCAAGTGGCACTCGATTGAAACACACATCTTTATGGTGCTACTAAAAGTCTATAATTTTTGGTTGGCGCTGAATTTACATTAGCCAAATTGGAGCTTGATCTCTGAAATCTAAGAACTGCACGGCTGCTAGCATTATATGGCAAGTAGTTGCTAACACACCTCGACAACTTTGTCCAAAGTTTAGTAAAACCTAGAAGCAAGAAATGGATATTTGGCTGTTGTGAAAGTGGATGAGCTTTGTCTGTATTGAACGAGTGGCAAAGTTAAAGGAGTTATCAGGTTGTAGGTTGTACTAGGGTATGTTTGGATCCTACCAAAATTAGTGTGCTACTCGTAACTCTTTTAGCACTTGCTAGCTGTTGGCCCACAGGATCACCGGTTGACGATAGTGAATTAGTCTCCAGACTACTAGTCTCAGACCACTAGTCTTCCAGATCACTAGTCTTTCAGACCACTAGTCTCCTCCCAGACCACTAGTCTCCAGACCACTAGTCTTCCAGACCACTATACCGGTTGTGTCCGTACCCACACACTACGGATCAAGCTAGAAGAAGAAGAAAGAACAGAGCAAACACGCACAATACAAGACAACAACGTTGGCCGATGCCCTGTCTGTGTGATAGCAAATCTGAACTCTCTTTACTGAGTTACCTTGGTGTCCTATTTATACAACTCTATCTATCTAATTAAAAGTACACACACATGTCAGAATAAAGAACTAGATAAGCATCTGTGGCTGACTCTGCGCACGGCCATTTGCATGTGCCTCAGCCTACAAAGGTGAGCCATGCGGCGCGCGCTCGTGACTCTGCAGCTGCCATCAGACATAAATAGGGGCAAAGTCGGCGCCGCCTTCCTCTGCTGCGTTTCACACAATATGGCAGTAGATTAGCTAACAATCTTCCCCTAATCCTCCTGCTAACCTTTGCACCCCCTCCATGCCGATCATCTCCTTCAGCTCCGTGAGTCAAAGTCGTCCGAGCGGCTTTGGTGAGGACGTCCGCGAGTTGCCGACCTGTTTTGACAAACTCGATGACGATCTGCCCTCCATCAACACAGTCCCTGAGGAAGTGGAACTTCACGTCGATGTGTTTACTCCGGTCGTCGTGAGAACCGGATTCTTCGCGAGCGATAGCGGGTGGTTGTCCACCATCAGTCTTTGGTGGGTGAGCTTCCACGCCGGTTAGCTCACCGGCCATCAGCGGCGTAGCCACACAACTTGGCACGCTGCAGGGCAGCGCCGCTACGTACTCTGCCTCGCACGTAGATAGCGCCACCACTTTCTGTTTCAGCGACAGCCATGAAATTGGGGTCGACCCGAGAAAGACGAGTACGCCAGAGGTGCTCCGTCGTCCATCGATATCCCCCGCCATGTCTGCATTGCTGAATATCGTGAGTTGCATCCTAGTGATCCTCTCTGGGATCCTCCATGAAGCGACTGACGTAGCCCACGGCGAACGCAATGTCCGGCCTTGTGTGGACTAAGTAGCGCAGACCGCCGACGATGCTCCGGTAGAGTGTTGCATCTACTTTCATCGCGGTGTTTGTCTTCTTCGTCGCCTTTCACCGCTCCTCCATCGGAGTCACGCATGGCTTGCACTCCACCATGCCGCTCCTCTCCAACAGCTTGGAGGCATACGCGCTTTGCCCGAGCGTGAGTTCCTCCTTCCTCTGTCTCACCTCGATGCCGAGGTAGTAGGAGAGAGCGCCGAGATCGCTCATTCGAAACGAGCTGCCATCTCTCGCTTGAAGTCGTTGATATCCTCGCCAGCGATGATGATGATTAAGTCATCCACATACACGCCGACCACGAGTTCTTCCTTCCCCCCAAGGTAGAGCGTGTTTCGGTTGCACACCGAAACCCAAGTGGTGTCAAGCTTGGCGTTCCATGCTCGAGGGGCTTGCCTCGGCCCATAGAGCGCTTTTGGCGCAGATTTGAGCACCTTTGCTCCTCTCCCTTGACAATGAACCCTAGAGGTTGCCGACGACGAAGACCGTTTCCGCCACTCGCCGTTGAGGAAGGCCGATTTAACGTCCAAGTGATGGACGCGCGCCGGTCCTTCTTTGCCGCCAAAGCAAGTAGCAAACGGACCGACTCCATGCGCGCGCTCTTGGTGCAAAGACCTCCTCAAAGTCGATGCCCTCGCTATTTGGACAAAGCCTCGGCGACGAGGCGCGCGCTTTGTACTTGACAATGGCGCCGAGCTCATCCTTTTGACTTTGTACACCCACTTCAGGCTGATCGGACGACATCCTAGGGGTGGATCGACGAGCTGCCAAGTCTCGTTTTCTTCGATTGCCTTCATCTCCTCCAGCATTGCCCGTCGCTAGTTTCCATCGCGCTCGGCTAAGCGCAAGCAACGGGTGGTTTCTCTCAGACCGACGAGTAGCAGCTCTGCGTCGTTGAGCGACCTATCCGCCAGACACGAGGGACTGTGCCACCACGACGATGTCATCCAGACTGCGGAACCTCAACTCCTCACCTTCGTGGTAGACGTCCACGAACTCAATGATGTCACTTGGAGGTGAGGTGAACTTGATCGGGGGTGATGGAGTTCCTTCTTCTGCCGGAGTGCCTCAGATAGATAGCTTTTGAAGCGTTTTCAAGATCGCTATACGATCGCTTCGTCATAACTCCTGCGGTGTTCGCCACACCGTAGGAGTGCCCACTCGATCTTGAAGTGGTCGGAACCACAAGAAGACGCGTCTTGGCTCGCCGCCGAGGAGTGCTCGGCACCCGTCTTGAAGTGGTCGCCACTACTGCAGAACCTCCCGGCTCCCTCTCCGGTGTGCTTGGCATTCCTCCAGAAGTGCTCGACACTCCTCCTGAAGTGCTCGACATCCCTCCTGAAGTGTTTCTCGGCCTTTGCCCTGAAGTGCTTGACTCTACCGGCCGGAGTGCTCGGCGCCTCCCCGAGTGCGTGGCACTGTTCGCAGCGTCTCCACCGCCGTGGATGACCAAGTGCTTGACGACGAAGGTGTTGGTGAAGCCTCCCGCTCCCCGTGCTCGGACTGTGCGGTCCCAAGCCGCCTCCTCGTTGAACACAACGTCGCGCGAGACGACCACCTTGTCTCCGCGTGGGTCATAGAGCCAGACGCTTGGTATCCTCCGCGTAGCCTGGGAACACCATGGGTGTGCTCATCCTCCGGCTTGGTGAGGTTCGACTTTGTCTTCTGGACGTGGCGATGCAACCGAATGTCCGGAGGAATGACACGTTCGGCTTGCTCCCGCATCCGAGCTTCGAACGACGTCTTGCCCGTTAGGGCTTTGGTTGGAGCGCGGTTGAGGATGAACACCGTCGTGGTCACCGCCTCTCCCGTAACTTTGTCGGCATCCCTTTGGCCTTCATCATGGATCGGGCCATGCCGACCACTGTCTGGTTCCGTCGCTCCACCACGCCATTCGTTGTGGCGAAGTACGGGCGTGGCGTGATGTTGCCCCACACCTTGATCCGCGCGAAGACGTAGCAAACTCCACCGAAGTGAATTCGCCACCCGATTAGTCCTCAAGACACGGAGCTTCTTGCCGCTCTCGGCCTCCGCGCGCGCGTCTTAAACTTCTTGATCGCCACCGACATGCGCCGTCCTTGTTTCGTCGAGTTGCGACCACATGTAGCGCATCGCAATCGCCCACGAAAGCAGGAGGAAGTACCGCCGACCACCGCATGTAGCAGGCGTGATCGGCCCGCAGAGGTCGCCGTGAACTAGCTCGAGAGCTTCCTTCGCGCGATACTTGGCCGCCTTTGGGAAAGGTAGCCTCCTCTGCTTCCCGGCCAGGCAGCTGTCACACAGCTCGCCTCCGTGTTTGATGTGGGGTAGCCCTCGGACCATCTTCCCCAGCCGACCAAGCACGTCGAAGCTGAGATGTCCGAACCGGGCATGCCACATCCACGGTTTCTCGGAGTGCCTTGCCGCCAGGCAAACCGGCTGCTCAACCTGGCTCTGATACCACTTGTTGGCTCACGGAATCACCGGTTGACGATAGTGAACTAGTCTCCAGACCACTAGTCTCAGACCACTAGTCTTTCAGACCACTAGTCTCCAGACCACTAGTCTCTCAAACCAGACCACTAGTCTCCAGACCACTAGTCTCCAGACCACTAGTCTTCCAAACCAGACCACTAGTCTCCAGACCACTAGTCTCCCAGACCACTATACCGGTTGTGTCCGTACCCACACACTACGGATCGAGCTAGAAGAAGAAGGGAGAACAGAGCAAGCACGCACAATACAAGACAACAACGTTGGTCGAGGCCATGTCTGTGTGATGGCAAATCTGAATTCTCTTTACTGAGTTGTCTTGGTGCCCTATTTATACAACTCTATCTATCTAACTAAAGTACAGCGCACATGCTGTAACAGTAACTAGATAAGCATACAGGGCTGATTCTGCGCCGGCCACTGTATGTGCCTACAGTGCTGCAGGTGAGCCATGCGACGCCTGCACCTGCAGCTGCTACTGTATTACAGCAGGGGGCAAAGTCGGCGCCGCCTTCCTCTGCTGTGTTTCACACAAGGTGACAGTAAATTAGCTAACACTAGCAACATCCATCTTACTAATTCTTGTTATTAGCTAGCACACCTATTAGTATGTGGCCTATTTAGATCCAGGTCTACTAATTTTAGTTGCTAGCAACATGGATTCAAACAGGGCTTACTTGGTGAGTCCTCCATGTTGTTAATAGTAACTAAAAATTAGTGTGAATCCAAACAGGCCATCTACTAAGAGGTATGCTAGCTACTAGGAAAAAAAAGCAAGGTCAACGGTGCTAGTAAGTGCTAAGAGTTAGGATGCTAATTTTAACATGAGCCAAATAGAGCTAGTAAAGTAGTGTGCTGACAGGGAAATCTTTGGAGATCATAGTAAACATTTTTTGAGGAAAGATCATAGTAAACATTGGCGGCATAAAGCACATAAGCAGGGGCATATGTTCTGGCTAATATTCGTGGATTCGTGTTGCCACGGACGTTCTTTATCTAAAATTTTCCCATGCTTGTGTGTCAGCAACCTATGCAGTATTCATAGGCTAACATGCTACAGTACAGAATACAAAGTTCTTAGAGATGTTGGCACTAAATAAATCTTTGCTGTTTTTCAGCTCATATGTTAAGCGATAGATAACATTGTGTCTACATGTTCCTCTAGCACGATTACTGGAGTCTGGGAAGTCGGTATTTGCAACATTGACCCTGTTCGGTTTACTCCATATTTGACTTGTTCGGCTTCTTTTTTCAACCAGAACAGTATTTTTCTCTCACAACAATTCAGCCGGAACAATATTTATCTCAACTTTCCAAGCTGGATAGCCACATCCGTCGGTACTTAGCTGAAGATATGCTAATAATATTCATTTCCTAGGGCAGCTAGTAACACTTTCCTGTTACTTCCTACTAATGCTAATTTGCTCCAGTGAATTTCAGGAATGGGTTTACAAGCCCCATAGAACAAATCACAACAGTGCGGGAGCACGTTTCGGATGTCCTTCACATAGATGCAGGCAATCAAAGAAACAGAAAATAGGCAATGTTAGCCCAGAGTGAGGCAGATAGGAATTGGGATTGAATCATCCCTGCTCTCAGTTCAGCTGTACTGCTTTCTTTTTGGTAGTAGTAAATATACCTGTACGAGTAGACTGACGGTTGCTTTCTCAACATTTTATATCGTTGTAATTGCAATTGGTTTTGCACAATAATGTCCAGCAAAAACGGGTAGCATATTGATAAGGCTCTGTTTATTTTCTTCTTCTAAAATTTACTCCTTATCACATCGGATGTTCGACACATGCATAGATTATTAAAATATAGACTAAAAAATAAATAATTGCACATATTGTGACTAATTTACGAGACGAATTTTTTAAACCTAATTTGTCTATGATTTGGTAATGCGGTGCTACAGTAAATATGTGCTAATGATAGATTAATTAGGCTTAATAAATTCGTCTCGCGAATTACAGAGAATTTCTATAATTTATTTTATTATTACTATCCGAACACTCTTCTATAACACCCCGATGTGATATCCTTAAAATTACTGTCTCATTTAAACACCACCTAAGTTTCGTTCATCATCTTCTGATTTCTGAGGGGGTGTTTAGTTGGTGAGGTGAAATTTTTTAGGTGTCACATCGGATGTGTCGGAAAGATGTCGGGAGGGTGTTTTGATACTAATAAAAAAACAAATTAAATAACCCATCAGGAAACTACGAGACGAATCTAATGATACTAATTAATCGGTCATTAGCACACGTGAGTTATTATAGCACTTAAGGCTTTTCAGGGACTAATTAGGTTTAAAAGATTCGTCTCGCGATTTTCAACCAAACTGTGCAATTAGTTTTTTTTCGTCTACATTTAATGCTCTATACATGTGCCGTAAGATTCGATGTAACATTTTGGGTTGAAAATTTTTAGAAACTAAGGGCCTTTTTGGCACGGCTTATACCGGCTTCGGCTTTATCTATTTTACGCAAATCGAGGCACTGTAGCGGGAAGCCGTTTTGTAAGCCGAGGTTAAAATGAATTAGAAACCAGAAAAAACCAGTTTTTCTGGCTTCAGCGGCTTTGTCTTCATCGGTGAAGACATTTTAGATGAGCCGTGCCAAAGAGGCTTAGAATTCTAAATAAGGATGACAACGGGTCGGGTTCGGATCGGGTGGAGTCTCCGTGCATCAAAAACCGAAACCCGAAATCGAAACCCGAATCCGCCCCGAAAACTGATTCGGGTGGAAATCCATCACCAAAACCAAACTTGCGGATACCCGAAACCCGAATGGATACCCAAAACCCACGGATATATATATATATATATATATATATATATATATATATATATATATATATATATATATATATATATTCACATGTATAAACAAGAGGCAACAAATAATAAATATTTTCATGAGTCAACTTTAAATAAATTTAATAATCTAAGTAAACAAATTATTATTAATATATTATAAAATATGAGTTTTAATTTCAAATAATTTATTTCAGATATCCATTAGATATTCATGGGTGGAAAACCAAATCCTAAAACCAAATCCGATTGGTTTTGAGACCCCAAACCCGAAAACCATGAGTAAAAAACCATCCCAAACCTGAACCCGCAGAATCTAAAACCGACGGATATCCGCCCCAAACCCCATCCGTTGCCATCCTTGATTCTGAATTCCAGTGGACATCAGATTCGAGGTTCGTCTGAATTCCGTATATTTTCACTGGCAGTCCGTGAGTGATGATATGTACGTCAGCGTCCGTTTCCTCGAGGCTCGAGCAGTCGGAACTTCGACAAAATCAAAGCTCCCACCTACCTCGATACCCCGGCCGCGAGGAGGAGAACGGTGCCAAACCACCATGGCGATCCCTCTCCTCTTGCTCCTCGTTCTCTGCTCAGCTTCAGCGGATGAGTACGGGGACGAGCTGCTGCGGCGCGCGTGGGGGGAGCGGGAGTGGATGGTGAGCGTGCGGCGGCGCATCCACGCGCACCCGGAGCTCGCGTTCCGGGAGCACCGCACCGCAGCCCTCGTCCGCGAGGAGCTCGAGCGCCTCGGCCTCTCCACCCGTGCCGTCGCCGGAACGGGCGTCGTCGCTGATGTAGGCTCCGGGGCGCCCCCCTTCGTGGCACTCCGCGCCGACATGGACGCGCTCCCGCTCCAGGTCCCTCGCGCTGTCCCCCTTCCTGATGCTTCTCATGTTCCGCTTGGGTCAGATAGTATCTTGTGTTGTGTGTCCACTTCTATAATCGGATCCGTTCCGGGGGAAATTAGGATGGCAGCTGCTTCATTGAATTAACATCATTCTGTTGGCTCCGACTGTAGGAATTAGTGGAGTGGGAGCACAAGAGCAAGGTGGACGGAGTGATGCACGCCTGCGGGCACGATGTCCACACAGCGATGCTTCTGGGGGCAGCAAAGTTACTCAGTCAGCGTAAGGATCAGCTCAAGGTGTGTACTTCCATACAAATCTCTTCCATGTAGGACAGAACGAGGTGTTCAAGAATTGGCGTTCTGTTTCAATTTGTGAGCTAAGGTAGTTAAGCAAAGTGCCTGACCTTTGTTTGAATCCTCATATACATCATGCCATTTTAACTAGTGGCAATACTGAATATGAACAACTCACAGGCAGTGAACATCCTGATTTCTTCCATAAAAAAAAAACATCCTGATTTCAGTTGTGGTAATTTTGTTTAGGAGCAGCTCCAGAATCGTATGATGGTTTGTCTTGTATTCTGAACTGAGTTAGTCTAATCTAGATAATTAGTACTCGCTTCTAGAGGAGGCTACCGCTAAATGGTTTAGCCCACTTTTTACAACCTTGCTTCAGATTTTTCTCAAAAAAAAAAACCTTGATTTTATACGGAGTAATTAATTAATTGATATTTATTACTGTGAAGGGAATAGTGAGACTCCTTTTTCAACCTGCCGAGGAAGGTGGTGCAGGTGCATCTCATATGATAAGTGAAGGGGTTCTGGATGGTGTTGAAGCCATATTTGCAATGCATGTTGACTATCGGATACCAACTGGTGTAATAGCAGCTCACCCAGGACCAACACAAGCAGCTGTATGTTTCTTTGAAGCAAAAATAGAAGGTAAAACTGGGATGGCTGAAACCCCACACTTAAATGTGGATCCTATTGTCGCTGCATCATTGGCCATCCTGTCCCTGCAGCAGCTTATTTCCAGAGAAGATGATCCTCTTCACAGCCAAGTATGATACTGCTTTTGATAATAGTATTTTACTTTGTGGATTTCTTTAGCATGCTGTAGAAAGGCATTGCACATAAATCAAGATTAGAAACTACAGTGAAATAAATATTTTGCTTGTAGACAGTTAACTGAGGCTTGGTTTGGTAGTCCCTTTACGGTAGACTATTAGTATACCTTGTTGATAAAGATTAAGCATCAGCCCGCGCAGACTGCATAATAGTTGTAAACTTGTAATAACGTTTTGACTCAGGCAGCTGCTAGTTCATCCTTTTTCTCAGATACAAGGATTGTTTCCAGCAGATAAAACCTTGTCTTGAGCCCTTGATTCTGCATTTGTTCCAATGTGTATTTTGGGCACCCATGGTGCACCATGTTGCTGATTTCATGAGACTAACTTAGGGGGATTTGGAATCTATTTTTATTTACTACTGAATTAGGTTAAAGAAACCTCAATTGAGGGCATAACAGTCATGTTTACACATTGTACTCATTCTAGTTTTTTTTTCTTGAACATGCATGAGAGCTTCATATCATTATATTAAGAAGAACAAGGGGCAAGAACCCTTACTCACTTCTAGACTTCTAGTTGAGAGGTCGTCTGTTTCCTTCATTAACAGTGAACTCCATAGTCGTTCTATTCTGGAGTGACTAACCTGAAGGGAATATCGATGCTTTTTCTTATATTAATGCTATTGGTGAAAATCTTGGACATAAATTCCATAAAATCCTTTTGACGATTTATGTTTATTTCGTTCAGGTGGTCTCAGTTACCTATGTGAAAGCTGGAAAAGCCCTTTATGCTACCCCTGACGTCGTTGAATTTGGAGGTACTTTGAGGAGCCTCACCACTGAAGGCCTTTATCGTCTGCAGAGAAGGGTTAAAGAGGTTAGTAAAATCATGTATTATGCATGATTTTGTTTGTTGTTATTATTTTGTTGTGATACAGATGTCTTCTAAATGAGCTAAGCACATTCAAAGCATTGTGGCACAGATGCATTTCCTTCGCAATAGCTTTCAAACTACTTATGCAATGAATGGTATTAGTACTATAGACCTGTAACTGCCCCATAGGCCCATAGAAACACATGGTTCCAGTTCAGTGTTATTCTGGTAAGCCTGCACACAAAGTAGCAACTCATGTTTTTCTTTATGTGAGTAGTCCATGGCAATGTTCTTAGTCTTGTCAAAGTTGAATTAGTGTTCCCCTTTCAAAAGTAAGCAACAGTATTTACCTAATTCTCAGAATAATGGATGCTTCTAATAAATAGTAACTCACATATTCAGAAGGAAATGGGAATTCACCATTTTTCAGGTAGTAGAAGGCCAGGCTGCAGTACATAGATGCAAGGGAGCCGTTGATACGAAGGGTGAGGACTACCCAATATACCCTGCTGTTGTGAACGATGAGAAGCTGCATCGCCATGTAGAGGATGTCAGCAGACGCTTGCTTGGCCCAGACGAGGTGGAGCCTGGAGAGAAGATCATGGCAGGCGAAGACTTTGCTTTCTACCAGCAGCTGATTCCCGGTGTTATGTTTGGCATCGGAATTAGAAACGAGAAAGTTGGCTCCGTTCACTCAGCTCACAACCCTTATTTCTTCGTTGATGAGGACGTCATTCCACTTGGTGCTGCTTTGCATAATGCAATTGCAGAACTTTATCTCTCTGAGGCATCCGCTCTGTACGAAGGAGGGGACTTGCAGTCGAGTTGATGATCTTGAGTTAAAAGGATGGTTGATAGGTAAACCTACCCATAGCATTGACCATACCTGGTGCAGTTTCTCTGATAATTGTTTTTTCTCTCGAGTAACTTGCTCTGATAATTGGTTTGGAAGCACGCATGCATTTTCTCAGTCAACCGTGATTCTGCCAAAGAATTGCGCGGCTTTGTGTTTCTTATTTCAGAATGTAATTGGCACTCTCCATTTTTCCAGGTAGTAGAAGGGCAGGCGGCTGTGCATAGGTGCAAGGGAGCTGTCGACATGAAGGTCGAGGACTACCCAATGTACCCTGCTGTTGTGAACGACGAGAGGTTGCATCGATACCTAGAGGATGTCGGCAGAGGCTTGCTTGGGCCGGGCAAGGTGAGACCAGGGGAAAAGATCATGGCCGGCGAAGACTTCGCTTTCTACCAGCAGCTGGTTCCCGGATTATGTTTGGCATCGGCATTAGAAACGAGAAAGCTGGTTCTGTTTACTCAGTTCACAACCCTTATTTCTTCGTTGACGAGGACGTCATTCCAGTTGGGGCTGCTTTGCATGCTGCGGTTGCAGAACTGTACTTTATTGAGGGCTCCTCTCTCAAGACTCGTAGCTTCTCGCTCGTGCGGTTGATCTTGGGTTGAATAAATATAATTGACATGTACAAATGCATTGGGTTTTTTTTGGCAAAATTGTGACTCGCAAAACAATGCGACGTCATTTTGAAGCAGAGCTCTACTTGACTACTTCCCTGACGGACTCTGCATTTCAGGCGACCATGACCTCTGGTGGCCAATCAGATCTGAACATCTGATCCACCGTGGTGATTAGCTCCCCGCGGCCTGCATCAACCTCCAACTATTGTTTTCCCCTCTTTAAACAGAAACACTACAAGGTTCCCAATCCTAGATTGAAGGGTTTCTGAGCAACTCTACAAGATCTCTTATGTTATATCTCCTATACCATAAGTTGTTTCATCTCCTATAAATTGTTTTAGAAGAGTACATTAAAATTAATTTAGGATATAATACAACATTTATTACCTAAAATATAAGATATACACAATATAAGAGATCTTTTCAAGGACAGGCAGATTATCCCAGTGTTAGTGTATCTTTTCAATCATCTTAGCTTGAAATAAGAGACATCATATGGAGATTAATTGCCCCCCCCCCCCCCGAGTCAGTGTATTTTCAAACATCCAAATATTATAGCGTCCTTGATGTCCAAAATACTTTACCATTCCGCTGGCATCTATACTTAGGATTTTTGGCTCCACTTATATCTACCTCAATTTATACGTAATGGGACCGTGTTTGGGTGGACGTGTATCATCTCAGTCCATGTGTGTTTTAGTGGGGTGGAATTTACTCAATCCACCTCAATCGACTCCAACTTATATAGACGGAGGTGAATACATATGCATCCAAATAAGTCCTGCAGTCGATTTGGCTCCAGCATTCACCTCAATCTATATATAATAAAGTAAATTAAATAAAATTGATTAATTTTTCTGTCTAAATCATTCTAATACATAGGGATTAAGGTGGATACAAATACAGCCCATCAACGACTCAAATCGCTGATCACGTGGACTGTCCATCCATTCCAATACTAGCAAACAGTAGCTTTGTCAGGTCGGTGATGCTACCCCTAGATCCGTAGCCTGCCAAGCACTATCACACTTCACACGCACACGCGACCCTTGGCCCCTTGGCTCAATCTAACGCAGGCTCTTATCAGCTAGAATATATAATATTTTTCTCTCATAATAAATCAGCTTCACTTGATGCGCCACCTCTACATCGGCACATAATATCATTTTTTTTTCTGCACCCGTACTCTGAGCAGTGCAATTTCACTTGTGCCGAGAGGCCCGAGACAAGATTGTCGGGACACGACGAGCAAAGCTCCAAACTTTGCACCGACCAGGTTGCAATGTTGCATTAGAAAAATGTGCTGACTCAACTGTTTGATTCGATCCATCATAGGGAGTATTGGCGAAAATTAAACAAATACGGGACTTGGATTTCGAACAAACTCTAGCCTCTAGCTAGGCCTAAAGCCCTATATAAACCCCTACCCGACCCGACGTCGTGCCGGTCATTCCAGTAATCCAGTTGGAATTGCATCTGGAGGTGTCCAGCCAGTCTCCCGCTCTCTGTTGACAAAAGCCGCCAGTGTAGTTCAGTCGTTCAGTGTCGAAGGATGGCGTCGACCTCCAGCCGCATGGTCGCATCCGTCGTCGTACGTCTTCCTGCTGCTGCTCGCCGCCTCAGGTGCATGTCCTGCGTAGCACGCGCTAGCTAGCTCGTGCCGTACTGTTTGTAGTAGCATGAATCTTGTTTCGTTCTGACATGTAGCACGGCGTGCACCGCCGTTGCTTAATTTTATTCGCGCAGAGATGGGGACGACGAGGGTGGCTGAAGCGAGGCACAGGCACTGCTTCTCGCAGAGCCACAAGTTCGTCGGCGCCTGCCTGAGCGTGAGCAACTGCGAGAACGTCTGCAAGACGGAGGGCTTTCCGTCGGGCGAGTGCAAGTGGCACGGCATAGTGAGCAAGTGCCACCGTGCCACTGCAAGCGGATCTGCTAGCCGGCAGCCCCCCACTGGCTGGCCGGCTCCAATCCGGTTAGCTGCACTGCATGCAGCATTGCAGCAGCATGATCGACCTGCCGGCTGCCGGCCGGTCTGTTTGCGTTTGCTGTTATTTGTTGGCGTTGCGCGTCACCGTCCCTGCTGTGGCGCGCGGTCACCGCCTTACGTGCGTGCGTGTCCGTGTGTCTTCAGTTTACTCTTAGACGTAACGTGGCTGTGTGTGTGTGTGTGTCTCGTGAACCGGCTTCACGTGCTGTGGTTTTTACAGTTTCTAATGTGTTTTAGTTACCTGGAATAATAAAGTTTGGTTGCTTTGCTTTTATCATGCCGCATTGTATCGTGCATAAGTAGAAGCATGTTGAATGAATGCATCGGTCAAAAAAAGAATATTGTTTGGTTGATTGCATGAGCGGATTCAGATGTGTTTGGTTGTAGACCACTGTGACCCACGCTGCATCTGCGGCAACGCCACTGTTGTGGCTCTGAAAATGGCCACCACAGTCTGTGGCGAGAATCTTGTCGTTTTAAACTACATATTCTCGTGGCCGGCTCCGTTGAATCACCAACCAAATACATACGACTTAGATTTCTGTGGCGACAGAGTTCGACAAAGCATATTGGAGCGTTCATGGTCGTTAAATAAATCTCCAAATTATAGATTTTAAGTGACCATGCAACAACCTATATGTTCCATTGCAATTCTTGAAGACATTTTGAACCAATAGAAACTGTAGAATCTATACCACCGCATGCATCGCCCCTGAAAGTCTGAACAGCGAGTCTGGATGCGCCTCCTTTCTCACAAATCTAATATAGCAGCCCTTTAGCTTCGAGTGAACCATTCCGTGGACCATGGTCGTGGTCCCCGAGCGTCTATACAGTTTCTTCTTTTGTCTCTCATTTTATTTTTTTTCCTTCCTTTTCTTTTCCTTTTTATCATATTAATGTAAACATTTCTCCTATATATACTAATTTTTTAGGTCAAATTTGTCGAGAACAAATTATGTTAAAAGTTGTGCTAGATAAGTTGTATATATATATATATATATATATATATATATATATATATATATATATATATATATATATATATATATATATATATATATATATATATATATATATATATATATATATATATATATATACACACTACCCTGTAGCTGGCTACAAAATAACTTATTTTGTAGCCACTTTGAGTTACGATAATTACTATGTTAATTTACGAGATTATAGTAACTCCTTACTAAGTGGTTTAGTATAACGTTATGGTAAATATCCCAATATGTTATAGTAACCAAACTATCGTAAATATGTATTGACATTATCGTAAATTAGTATATAAAATTATCGTAAATAGAGATGGCTACAGAATAACTTATTTTATAGCTGGCTACTGAATATACTCTCCCTACGAAGGGCGTATATGGCCCGACGAAGTGTATGTAGATGGAGTATATCATCATACTAGATCATCTAAGGTACTATATATGACAAGTATGCATGTATACTTAGAGTATATGGTTATACTTATTTTAAATGTTACTATCATAGTATTATATAATATATAAAAAAATATGTGCTTTTTTGAAAAAAAATTCACATAGTAAAGATCTGGAGTATCTTAATATTAGTATATCAACATACTCAAACTGATAAATATGTATGTACACATACGCAACGTGATTTATTAATTATGGGAATAACTACTTCCGAGAGTATATAAAATGCACCATATATATATGAAAAAGTATTTACGAAGAAACTTATGTTTCTAAGTTACCTTATTTGTAAAATTGTTTATATAAAAGTTATGTTAGTAAATTGTCACATAAGTTTGTCTATCGATAATTATGAACAAAAGCTGGGTTTTAAAACTCATGTAGAAAAGTTGTCATGATAAGTTGTCTATAAAATAAAATTATATTAAAAACATGATGATTATCAGTTGTGGATTGTGGGTGATAAGTTATATGATGCAAAATATTACTCCCTCTATCCCCAAATAAATCAATTCCTAGAATCCGTGCCAGTCAATTTTTTGTTTAAGTTTGACTAACTTTATATCAAAGAGTAACAACATGTATGACAAAAATGAGCACCGTATGAAAATATATTCTATGATAAATCTAATGAAACTAATTTGATACTATAAATCTTAACATCTTTTTTCTTGAAATCCGGTCAAAGTTTAGAAGTTTGACTTAAGACAACTCTAGGAATCTATTTATTCAGGGACAGAGGGGATATGTACAAAAGTTGTGGTTATAATTTTGTAGTAGTTTTCTAAAAGAAGAATGTTGCCTCAGCATACAGATTACTGGACACAAAGAGATTCAGAGCTAATGACGTGAATGTGGCGAGTACATCTGAGAATGAAGTTTGGAAGAAAATTTGGAGATTGAAGGTTCCCC